CCCCTGGGTGGGATGGGGACCCTATAGGGAGCGTGTGGGGCCCCTATGTGGGAAGAGGGGTGTCAGGGGGGCCCTGTACGGGGTATGTGGGCCCTATAGGGGGCATATAGGGTTCCACGCGAGGCTCTGCACAGGGGACGGGCACATGGGGCCGCGTTTGGGGCTCTCTATAGGGGTGCAGCCCCTGGGTGGGATGGGGACCCTATAGGGAGCGTGTGGGGCCCCTATGTGGGAAGAGGGGTGTCAGGGGGGCCCTGTACGGGGTATGTGGGCCCTATAGGGGGCATATAGGGTTCCACGCGAGGCTCTGCACAGGGGACGGGCACATGGGGCCGCGTTTGGGGCTCTCTATAGGGGTGCAGAGCGGGTGGGGGGTCACCCTATAGATTTGGGTGCTTATGGGGCCGGCGGGGTGGGTGTGGGGGTGTTACACACACACAGCCCCCCCATGGTGGTTTGCAGGGGACCCGGTCGGTGACCCCCAATATGTGGGACTTGGGTCCCTTTTGGTGCTACCTGCTATTGCCAGGTGCTAAAACAAAAGCTAAAACCCACTTTTTTTGGTTTTTTTTTTTTGGGTGGTTTTTGTTGCGTTCGAAGGGGAGGAAGAGGAGCCAAGAGTGAAAACGCTTCCCCCAAGGTCACCCCCCTCTGCGGGGGCTGCTCCTTGCGGCCCTTCTCACGTCCTGCCGCTGTTTGATGCACCTTGAGTGTTAAAAAAGCAAAAACAAACCCCCAAACCACCCCCAAAACCAAACCCACTTATTTTTATAATTTTCCTCTTCAGATTTTCTCTTCAAGTTCCTCGTGATAGGGAGCGCTGGTACGGGGAAGTCCTGCCTCCTCCACCAATTTATCGAAAACAAATGTAAGTTGGTTTATTTTGGGGTTAATTGCTGCTACACTGGGTCTCTCCTGACCGGATTCATCTCTCGGGGTGCTGGAAAGATATTTCTCTGTGGGACTTTTTGCCAAAAAATAAAAAAACAAAGTGGGATTTTCTTGTGTGTTGTGGAGCCTTGATCCTTCCCTGCCAGGCCCAGCACTGGGAAAAAAATCTTTTACGGATTGACAGAGCTTTCCCACAAAACGCTGAAACTTTTTGAATCGCTGAAAGGTGGTGGGAAGATCGATTATTTTTTTTAATAGCCGGCTGGTAACGCAGCGGATACCTCTCGTTTCCGCAGTCAAACAGGATTCGAACCACACGATTGGGGTGGAATTTGGCTCCAAGGTCGTTAACGTCGGTGGGAAAACGGTGAAGCTGCAGATCTGGGATACGGCTGGGCAGGAGAGGTTCAGGTAAAAAAAAAACAAACCACCAACCTGACAGTGTTTTCAATGTTCTCTGGCTTTTTTGGGCTTCTTTATTTTTAAAAATCTTTTTTTTTTAAATGAACTGGGGCGCACAGTGCCTGAAAACACCATGGTTGTGTAGAATCATGGAATTTGGCCACCTGGGCACTTTGGCCAGTTCTTTTTCCAGCCACTTTTTTCCCCAAAACTTGAAATTATTGCAACCTGAACGCAGGACCTTGTTAAATCTCCTCATCACGTTGATCCGGAACCTCTCGGCAAACTCGGGGTGCTATCGATCCCCTCTCCGGATTATCTGTAACAATATTAATCAGAATATCCGCGGAGGTGGAAGGATTGGATCTCGTTCCGTAATTAATTAGGAATATTAGTGCTCTGCTTGAGACAAAGATCCTAAAAATGCCGGTTTGGAGTCAGTCCTGTCCCTGCTTGAGTCGCCCACGGAACTTTTCCTGCCGGCACAGCCAGCAAAAGGGTCCCCAAATCTCAAAATCGAGGGTCTGGGGTGGTTTTTTTGTGCCTTCCTCCGCTCTCATCCTCCTCTTCTTCCTCAGGTCAGTGACTAGAAGCTACTACCGGGGCGCAGCTGGCGCGTTGCTCGTGTACGATATCACCAGGTGGGTTGCAGCACCCCAACCACGGAGCCCTGATGGGTGCCGGCAGAAAATTGGGGTTCAATGCACCCAAACCCCGCCTTTTTATATCCAGCCGGGAGACCTACAACGCGCTGACCAACTGGTTAACGGACGCCCGCACCCTCGCCAGCCCCAACATCGTCATCATCCTCTGCGGAAACAAGAAGGATTTGGATGCGGATCGGGAGGTGACGTTCCTGGAAGCTTCGCGCTTCGCCCAAGAGAACGGTGAGGAGAAACGCGAGATCCCGCAGCGTCCTGTGGGTTAATTACGATCAAAATAATGAGGGTTTTGCTGGGGTTTTTGTCTTTTTCTTACCGCCTAGAACTCATGTTCCTGGAGACCAGCGCCCTGACGGGAGAAAACGTGGAAGAAGCCTTCTTAAAATGTGCAAGGACCATATTAAACAAAATCGAATCGGGTACGGTGCTTTGGATTTTGCTTTTCTAAGGGAGGTTTCAAATCTCTGCTGGGGCAGGGAAGGTTGTAATCTTTTTTTCCTCACCCTGCCTGGGGTTTTTTTCCCTGATTTATGGGAGTTTTTTCCCCAATTTATGCAGGTGAACTTGACCCGGAACGGATGGGCTCAGGGATCCAGTACGGAGATGCTTCCCTTCGCCAGCTGCGGCAGCCCCGGGGAGCCCAGGCGCAGAGCCGGCAGCAATGCAGTTGCTAAAACTCCTGTGCCCAAGGTGAGCCCCCACCTTTTTTTTTTTTTTAGCGCTGGGCGGGGGGCTCCCCAGCCTCCTCCCTCGCACCCCGGCTGCGGGAGAATGGCTTGGATGACTTTACAAACCTATTTTTTTTTCTTTTCTTGTGTTTTGTTTTGTTTTGTTTTGTTTTTCCCTGCCACCAGGACTGTGTGCCTCGCTCGCTGAGCCCCCGCCCTGCCCCCAGCTCCCTCTTCCTCCGTACCATCCTCCTCCTCATCCCAGAAGCCCCCCCGGGACTATCGAATTTGTGGCAAATGCCTTGTTTTGATTGTATTTGACTGAGGTGGCTTCTGTCAAAACGCTCCTCGTCCGCTGCTTGTCCCCCCACAACAGTGTTTTGCTGAGGGGAGGGATCGGATTTTCCCCCTCTGCCAATTTCAGCTCCGTCCAGGTCCCTGTCCCCCACCCTGGGGTGTGTGTTGGGGGGGGTTTGTGTTTCTTT